GCATATGACCTAAATTTATTAGTTTCCTAATGTATTTGTTAGTTTCCTAGATTCTCTAGTTTTCCCAATTCTAGTAGGATTTCTACTTTTCCAGATTTCCAGATTTCTAGTTTTAAGTTTCCTATTTTATTTGGGTTAGGATTTCTGTTTAAGCAAGAGATTTTTATCCTATTATGTCTAGGTTTTAGTTTGCTATAAATACCCCCCATGTAGTTCTTTAAAATTCAGATTTGAATGTTGAGTAAACCTTTTCCTAGAACTCTCTGATTTCGTCCCTTCGATCTATATTTCTTCTCCTTGATCCCCGATATTCTTCTTTGTTCTACTGTTTCTGCCCTTTATCTCGTCTTTTCGATCTATATTTCTTCTCCTAGGTCTCTTATATTCTTCTATGTTCTATTGTTTAAGTGCTTAATCTAATACCTACGGGCTGTACTACATCAGTTACATAATTAGTTGAACTAAATAATTCATAAACAAAAACACCGCATAGCTGATGTCGAACAAATTTAAAGTCACCCTAAAGTGCTATCCAGTGGATCCATTGGCAAGGTTGTCTTTGGGTCTTTAATCTTGGTCCCTGGAAATGAGAGTCTAATGTCTTAGCATAGCTGGTTATTTCTTGAGAATACGCTAAGCGTATCAATATGCCCACACTACAATGTTTCTTGTCCATCAAATGTATACTTTTTGGACTTTGTTTTAGAGAAAAAGAGATTTTGGGCAGCTTGGAGAAACTGGATGTATGGATGTTTGAAATCTGTTAACTTCTCTATAATTATTAATGGTGGACCCAGGGGTAAAATTGGCACTAGAAGGGGTTTAAGGTAATACGACTGCTATCACTCTTCTTATTCACTTTGGTAGTAGATGGTCTAAGTAGAATGGTAGATAAGGCAAGAGAAGTACAGCTGTTGAAAGGTTTGTCAGTAGGAAGAGAAGAAGTCGAAATCTGTCATCTCCAATTTGTGGACGATACTCTTTCAAGGGAAAATCATAGTATTAGCAATCTGTTATAGGTGATTAAATCTTATTGCGCCCTCCCAGCATTGTGCTTGTGGGGATTTTATATAATAAGTTAATGATTTCTTATTCTGAATTCATTCTCTTTAGTTAATTATTTATTGGTTGATTTTCTACTTTCTGTAGTCACAAATGTTAAAAAACAGAAGTGAATGTGTGCACTTGAATGTTTTGTAATTTGCACTCAGTGCAGTTAAAATACAATAAGTCCACTTTTGTATATGGGAAATATGTATGACTTTCTAGAGTTACTGGTGACAATCAATTTTTATATCATTGGGGAACGATGATTTATGATTTCCTGAACATTGAATAAAGCAGAAAATGTGTACAAGGTCCCATCCAAGGTTAAGGTTTTCGCTTGGTGGTGCACAGGATGGTTAACACTTGTGATTTACTCCAAAGACGTAGGCCAGGTTCCTTGTTATGCCCACACTGGTGTATTTTATGCAAGAGTGCAGGGGAGAGTGAGTCGCACTTTCTTATCATGCAGGTTTAGCTGGCAATTATGGTGTTTTTCGTTTAATGGGATTAATGTTAGTTGGGGGGCACCAAAACACTGCTTTTCTTTGCTGGGTGAGAAATTTAAAGTATTGGGTGGGGGAAAGAAGGCTAAAGTAATATGGGGTTGTATGATGAGGGGATGGAAGTGGAGGAGGTGTGGGCAGCGCTTTGGGCATCTGTTTCTCCTGATTTTAGGAAAGCTTCTATTTGTGACATTGGTCTAAACTGGGAAAGCTGTAGTGTCATGAATATGTTTTTGGTTTGTTAAACTAGATGTAGCCTGAGCATGACACGAAGCACTATTGGGCTGGTCTTAAAGGCTGCCCGCTGTACACCTCTCCTCCCAAATTTGGGTAGTTATGATGTTTCCGTAACATTATGTTGATATTAATTTTCAATGCCCTTTTGTTTTACAGTGCAAACGGGAAGGTTTTATTCAAAAGATTAAAGATGAAGATGGTGAAGGATGTAACATTGAAGGATCTCTTGAAGTTAACAAAGTGGCTGGTAATTTTCATTTTGTATCTGGAAAAAGCTTTCACCAGTCAAACGTTCATGTGCATGATTTGCTGGTTTTCCAGACAGATGGTTACAATGTAAGGAACACCTTATTTACTTTGGTAGCAAATCAAATAATATTATCATGGAAGCTACTATAAATTTAGCCATCTTTCTATGTTTTTGTTTTTGTTTGTTGTACATTCTTTCTCTTTTTAACGAAATTTGTGTTTCTGATCATTTAAAAAAATTCATTTCAATTTCATCTTTCATGATACAGATAAGTCACAAGATCAATAAATTAGCTTTTGGTGACTACTTTCCTGGTGTGCTAAATCCCCTTGATGGGTAATTGTTTCTTTCTATCCTTACACTGTTAATCGCAGGTTTCAAATAGGATATCATATGGTGTTGTATTTCTATTGCAGAGGGCTTTGCAGTTGATCAATTTTGTTTCCAGGCTGGAATTTACATGTCCATATACCTTTTTTTTTTCCCTCATAGCTTTTTTTAGAGTGCTTAAATCTTTTTCACGGTTATCTTTTTCTTGATGTAATGGGTGCGACTCATTTAATAAATGTTGCTATAATATAAACTGTTTATGTTATAGTTTTAGTTGAAGGAGATCTAGTCAAACATTTTCCCTAAACTTGTATCTGTTATCTTTTCCCACTTAAGAATATTTCCTAAACTTCTTACTGCATTTTCAGTGTACAGTGGATGCAGGAAACCCCAAATGGTATGTACCAGTATTTCATCAAGGTTAGTATTATCAGAAAACTATTTTGGGTTCCTTGCTATATTCTTCTAAGACAGGTAGTATTTGATAACTGATCTAAATGCAACAGAGAAAGGAAAAAAAACGGAGAATTCTTTTCTTTCCTGGAACTGTTTTGAATGTCGTATAATGGTACTGAGATATTTAGACACTTATCTACTTTGCAGGTGGTCCCTACGTTATACACCAATATTAAAGGACGTACAATTCGCTCAAATCAGGTATTTTGAAGCTTGTTGAATCTGCTTCGTCTGTGTTAGTTGTCATCGCATCATGCCCTCATATGCACTCAAATTTGTATGATATAGTACTCTGTGACAGAGCATTTTAAGAGTTCAGAGTTGGGACGCTCTCAGCTGCTTCCAGGAGTTTTCTTCTTTTATGATCTTTCTCCAATTAAGGTGTGTTTCTTGGTCCACATCTAACTAGCTATTCTAAACTGGATTTAGACTATTTTATAATTATGCTGGTGCATCCACTTTTTTAATGGAAGATTTCCTTTTCTTAGTTTTGTGCTTTCCTTTTCTCATAATGAAAAAAAAAGAGGATAAATTCCTCCTTGTTCAGAGAAAAAAGTTAAACTTTCCCCAGACTTTCCCCAGTGAAAACCTTCTACCATTCTGGAGTTTCTGCTCCCACCCTCAAGAAAAGCTTCCAAGTTCTGTGGATTGGCACATTTCTTACAGATTTTCATGTATCTTACTTCCTGGACACATGAAAAACCCTAGATTCAATTTGGATTTAGAGCTGTATAATTTTGAAAAATCATTAGAAGTTTAGGAGGCTTGCCAAAACATGTCAAGATTAGCAAATAGTGTAAAATAAACCAGATTTTTTAATCCGCGTCGGTGGGCATACTGTGCACCTTCTCCTTTGTGTTACACTGTTCCCTCAGATAAATACATTTAATGACCATTTAAAAGGAACTGCTAAGTTCAAACCATCATTGGGTACATCCACCATTACATGATTAACCAAACATGATAAAAGAATGATAGCGTATAAGCTGCTAAGCTGAGGTGGGTTTGAACTATTCTCTGAATATGGGAGAAAGTGTTGGATTCTAGCCTAACTGTAGCATGGAGCATATTCTATTAATCCCTCAAGAAACCTCATCCTGATTTGAACAAAAGAAAAAGAAGTGTATATCACAAAGTTGTAAGGTTTATATCACCTGTTAATAAAGCAGCGCATAAGGTTCAACAAACCTCATCCTGATTTGAACGAAAGAAAAAGAAGTGTTTATCACAAAATTGTCATCACCTGTTAATAAAGCAGCACATAATGATGCCATTGAGATAAGAACTAGGATGAGCTGCCTTATATAGTAAACCATCTTTATGTTTGATCGGTATTTCAGGTGACATTGAAAGAAGAACATGCTCCATTTTTACACTTTATGACCCATATTTGTGCCATAATTGGAGGTAATATCATCTCTCTCTCTCTCTCTCTCTCTCTCTCTCTCATTTTTGCCCAATTCATGTATGTGCAAGAAACTCAGACAGTATTTGGTATGTACTGAAATCCCTGTGATTGATTTTATTTATTTCTTCCTTATATAACCATTTTGTTCAACGTATATGCATGTTGTCAAATCTAAAGAGAATTATTGAGTTCATTGCTGAATTTCCCTACAGTTTCTTTTTAGAGAAGTACTTGAACATTATTTTCCTCTACTCTTAGAAAACCCTTTGTATATTTCAAACAGGTAAGAAATCAATTTATTTAACTATAGATATTTTCCCTTTTTTATTTTGGAACAAAAATTATTATTATTATTTTAGTTCTCTTGTTTAGCACTTAGATTCAGTAGTTCTCTTAGATCCACTTCAAGGGTCAAATGTACCACTCAATGACTCACGATGACCCCATGGGTGGTTTTTTGAGGAGTTCGTAATGAGCACGTGCATAGAAAAATCAGTGTCTCCGAGTTGGAACTTCTCATACGATGAAACTAGATATATGTATCACTCATGCCATTCATGTGCAATATTATAAACTTTTTGGTAAGAATAAAGAGCTTGAGGATAGAAACTAGTGAATAGTGAGGAGAAATAGAAGTTGGAGTGGACTGTAACAACTTAGATGGTTTGGCAGAAATAGATTTTTATTTTTATTTTTATTTTATAGAAGATTACAGCGTTTTCATTGTACTGTTGTATGATCCATGCTTTGGAATAAATAACATGTAACAGTTCTGGTGCTAGAATTTTCAGATTTTTGAAACCAGTTTTCCAAGTCCTAATTTTGATGCATTGAAATCAGACCCTTTTTTTTCTTGGTTCTATTACTGGCCTTATTTTGTGTTAGGGTATTTTTGGTTATCAGTTTTCACTTTCCTACATTTAGTGATGGATAAAACTCCACTTTGTTTTTCCAGGTATATTTACCGTTGCAGGACTTATAGATTCGTTTGTATATCATGGTCAAAGAGCAATGAAGAAAAAGATGGAAATCGGAAAGTTTGGGTGAATCTGGCAGTTGGGTATGTGCTGCTCCAATATCCGTAGCT